ATCTTGCTGGAGGCAAGTCCGACTGTGTTTTGAACAGATTAGTAATTTGACAGTAGTAATCTTTACTCATTACCACTGACGGCAACGTTGCCCAGCACGATTGCTCTAAAAGTTGCTCTGTGTATCATCAGCTTTACTCTCTTTTTCTGAATATTCTCTTAAGCTATAATACATCTGAGTGGTCACATGCAGTCCTTGCAGTGTCCATGCACAAATTCTAACGTTAGTGTGATCTTCTGCACTATGATTTGGAGATGGAGCTTGCCTTCTGCAGTCTGATTAAGCTGCTTGTTGAACTGCCTAAAACATGATTACACAGCTGGACCCTAAGCTGTCGTTTTAGAATGAAAAGTAAATCGAAGAAAAGGCCACAGCTGAAAAGTTGATGCAGTGTTATTGCTATAATTACATAATTTAATATTGGGCTATAGCTGCAACAGTTGTGTGGTAGTATAAGGTAAGAATCCCAGGTTTCAAGCACACGTTACAAACCACCATCTAACCCTATATTATGTCATACGTTAAAGGTTTTCTACCTGCTGTATCTCACCCCACAATTTTCTTCATCTCCCTAACAGGTCTCGTTGCAAACAGCAAAGCTCCCGTAAGTGTCCATTATTTAGTTGACGCATTTAATTTCACACTCCTGGTTAATGAGACGATGTTAATTGGGGTGTTTTTGCGTCTCATAAAGGTGAACGTTGATCAGCTGAAGAAGAGAGCAGAAAGATTTGGAATGAACGTCTCATCCGTTTCACAAAAGGTGACAGTGAGCTTGTGTCTTTAAGTTTTTTCTACAGTTTTTTGGCATTAAAGTGATACTGACATGTTTTTCTTTCCAGATTGAAGAAGATGAAAAGCTGAAAAAGAGGAAGGAGAGGTTCGGGGTTTCAACAGGTGCAGCCGGTGCAGCCGATATTGAGGTGGGTTGTTGTTGTTTTTTTTATTCCATGCCTTGCATTTCTGTTGTTGTTTGACTTATATATATATATATATATATATATATTTATCACATTATAGTAAAGTTATACATAAAAAGACCCGAGTGAATTAATTGTGTATTAATGTTGATGTTTCCGGTCTCTTTTTCTACAGGCAAAGAAAATGAAGCGCGCTGAAAGATTTGGAAATGTGTGAATAAATGTTTTAGAGACTTTTTTTTTCTTTCCTTATTTTTTTTTTTTTTTTGAAAAGCATTTTCATTGCTGCACAACAGAGATTCCCAAAGGATTCCTGTAAATCAAATGTATAATTATGTACAAACATAATAAATGGTGAGTAAGATCATTTAAATGGTTTGGAAAAAACAAATTAAAATTATTTACTTAGCCTAAATTCAGTGGATAATGTAAATTAGACAATCGTTTGATTTGTCCATTAGTTACTGGAACACCATTTTCTCCGTCATGGGAGGCTTTCAAACACATTATTTTTCATTTCCCTCAGTTTTTATACAGGAATTAGAGGTGTGTTTCTAAACTGTACGGGCTATTCGCTCCTGTGTAACATAGACGTTTTGTTTTACTCCTCTTTCCTAAACGTACTATTTAACAGGTACGACCCTCACTGTTCCCTCTCTGCTGCGCTCTCTCAAAGCTGCAATGAAGTCCATTTATCAAGTCTGTCAAGCAACTAGGTGTGTAGTCAAACAGCTCCTGCAGGTGCTTCACAGTAAACACCTTCCAGATGTTCTGGGGAAAACATTTGTTCTCTGTGGATCAGGTGATTATTTACTGTTTACTCTTTAAATATAATCTTTAAATACAGTGGTGCATAAAATCACCAGAAATTTCACAAATCAAACTGAGAGAAAATTGAAACAAGGAGTACATTTACTGTGAAGCAGCTTCAGGAAGTGTTTCATTAGCTAACAGATCTTTACACTAGAGCTTGCTGAAAGTTGTCTTGAAGCTAAATTAGAACATTTTTGTGCTTCTTTTTTTTTACGAGTGCATTAATGTGAATAGATTGTTACAGTTATGACAAAGATTTGAAAAGACGAGCAGATGAGAAACCAGTGAGGATCTAACTTGTTGGTTAGGGGTGAGAATAAAAAAGAAAAATCCTTAACTGTATCCGCTATGCAGGAAATAATACCTAGCAAAAATGGCCTTTGTGTTATCAAACATGCAGCAGGGAAAACAGGACTTTTTGGCCGTGGAAACAGAAAATGTGGAATATGTTTGTACAAAGACTAAGGAAAATCCTAAAATATAAGTTTAACAAATTTCTATGATAGGTAAGAGTAAAAAATCCTGTATTTCTGCTTTAATTAAAAAAAAAAAACATTTTCTAACAATCCAGTTAAACTCACGTATTTGAATTTACTGTGTACGTAATTGTACTTTTGATTTATCAGATGGCCTGTTGTTTTCTTTTGGGGACTACATTGGTACACTGCTTCAGTAATCTGTCCATTTTATAACATTTTGTGATTTAAAATAAATGGTTTTCAATTTTTTGATATCCGCTTTGTTTGATTCTTGTTTTTTCTCTATCTCTCTGTATATTTGTTTTTACCCACCTGTAGTTTTCTGTAGAGTCACTGACTTGATTATGAGAGTGGAATGACACATTTTTTACCTGCAACCTTGGAGTAACAATTAGTCACTTGTAATATATTCTTCAGGGCAATCATAAAATTTGGCAAGGGCTGTATTATAATTGTTTTAAAATCTGTGAGGATCCAAATTTAAATATCAGTTTTGACCCCCACAATTTGATCATGACTCTAGATTTGGAAATTGCTGGTGGGTTGTCTTAGTGAAAATACTCAACAAAGTGTTAATAATTCAGTGAGGAAATCTCTACACAGACAATTCAAGTATGCTGCATTCTCCAAAAAATTTATAGTATTGCTGTGGCCCCTCAAGAACCCACAGGGGTGTAGACTCCCAGTCAGTCACAAAACTTCGAACTTGGCTGCTTAAGATTTGACTTACTTTAGACTTGGCAGAAAGTATTAAGCCTGAAAGTCTTAAACTGACCAGGAATTTGAGGCTTGACTCTGAGGATTCATACTGTGTACAACTTAGTTGAGTTATTTGGGGCCCGTATGGTTTATGATAATACTTATCAAATAAAATTATAGGGTTTATTAACTCAGTAGGTTGTCTTGGGTAAAGCTGTGTTTTCTTCTTCTTGCAACATTGTGATTCTAAATCTTTGATTGCAAATTGGGAAATAAAACAAAGGGTTCCAACAATAAAGAGTTTGCATTGTTTAAACAATGTAAATATGTTCTTAAAGTTGTGCTACAGCGCAGCATGGTTTGAATTAACTGTTGCATTCATTTATTCGATTTTTTCAAGTGGAATCGAGGTTTCTGTTATGTAATAAAATTTACTTTATGGACATTTTTTCTAAGATCACACATAGATGTATCAAATAATTATTATTTAACAATGTGATGAGAATACAGTTATGAGAAATGTTACAACAAATATATCTGCAGCAATCTCTCCAAAAAATAACTGCAAAACAATTGGAGGCTGGGCTATTTCTGCAGGCAACATCATATCTTTTCTTGTTTTTAGCTAAAATATTTGACATCATTATACATTTCTGGATTTCTATCAGTGACTTTATTTCCTACTGTGGCAATTGAACCTTCCCCAATTAAGGAACACAGAGAGGGATCTGATTCACTAGTTACAGGTTGATGGACTAAATGTAAAGTATCTTTTCCCCACTGTGGTATCCTCCAAAAGCAAAGAATATGAGCGTAAAGTACTACAAAAGCATATTGCATTCATCCAAAGAAAAAAAAGGATGTAGTCACCTTATCGTAATTACTAGAAAAGATGTCATAATTAGTAGACAATACGTCATAATACTAGATAAAATGTATAATTAGAAGATCAGGTTCTCATAATAATTTGAAATGATGTCATCATTATGAGATCAGGTTGTCATAATAATTAGAAAATATGTCATAATTAGGATATCAGGATCTATCAAAACTGTAGTAAAACTGTTATCTATAAATCTTCTATAAAATCTGCTAGCAACATAATGTCTGTTAACTTATAGCCTTTTTCACTGGAAGTATCAAGTTGAAAATTTACCTTTCAGCGGCTGTACAGTGGCTCTACTTTGCGAAGCAGTGGCCAATAAGTGGCACCTTTCCAGTTGTCTCATAATTACTACGTCCTGATCTTGTAATCATGAGATGCTGATCTCGTAGTAACTGTGAGATCTTTTCTCATAATTATGAGATAAGGTGTCTAAATGTTTTTTTTTTTTGGTGAATGCAATTTGCAGAAGATCATTGGTACGCATCTCCCTAGCATCAGTGATATCAGTGAGGTGAGGTGCCTGCAGAGCTCAAAGGATGTTAAAGGACAGTACCAACCACAGCCTCAGCCTGTTCACCCTGCTGCCTTGTGGGAAGAGATATAGAAGTTTCAGCATTTGCATCACCAGACTGCTGAGCAGCTTTTACCCAGACGTTTAAACTCAAATTCACCCTCAGCACTGCTCCTTTGATTAAAGTTTATTTCTGTTTACCATTTTATGATTGCAAACTGAATTTTCACTTTACAACCTGTTATAATGTGACAAATAAACCCACCTTGTACCTGGTTTTGGTCATAGACTGTATATAAAAAAAAAAGTTTCGGTGACCCCTGCTGGTCATTAACGGAAGTACACTGACGTTGTTACCCTGCGTGACGTATGTTCCTGTGACGCGCAGAAATTTTAAACTATCGTCCTTCTCAGTGATGGCGGCTTCGTTTCGTTCTCTCCCTGCAAACTGTAATAACAAATGGTACTACACCCGAGAACAGATCGACAACAGCCCATCTCGGCGAGCTGGACTTGATCCTGACAAGGAGCTGTCCTACAGACAACAGGCGGCGAACCTGCTCCAGGACATGGGACAGCGGCTCAATGTGTATCTTTTGTCGAGGGACGCGTCTTAACCTAGCCAACATTAGCTCGCCAGCTAGCGAAGTTTAGCTTCCCACGAAGCCGGTTCAGCTGCAGAGCATGGCTAGTGTTTGTTATCGTGTTTCGCTTGATACCTTAGTTTGTTTTTATGATTCTTATCTGTTTGAAGCGGTGGTTTGTGGTTTTACAAGCCAGCAAACTAACCTTATCGAGTAGTGGCGTAGCAGGCTAAACCGGGGCCATTTAGGCCTGTGTGGTTCGAGGGCCTTCAGGACGTTAGCATTAGCTTTGCATGCTAGTGAGGAAAACATGTAGTGTGTGTGGAACACGGTTCTTTAGAAACATTAGGTTTTAGTTTGTTTCGTCTTGTTTTACATGTTTTATCTTTAGGATCAACGCTTTTATGTCTTATTTAAGAATAACCTCTGACTAATGTGTGAAGCTAGCTGGGGTTTCAACTGTGTTGTTCTGCCACTGATGTGATCTTAAGTTTTATTAGTGATTAGCTCAAATTAAAACTCTGTAGTTATGTTATTCCACATGTAGACTAACGACCCCGGTCATATTAACGATATTCACTCAATGCGTGTGTTTTGATCTGTTTGTACTGCTACATTGTCCTTAACTACCATGTCTCAGGTCCCAACTTACAATTAATACAGCTATTGTGTACATGCATCGATTCTACATGGTCCAGTCATTCACCAGGTTTCACAGAAATGTAAGTATTGTTTGACCCACTCACCTGAAGTCCACAATGCAAATGCTAGTACTTAATGTCAGTCAACTCATGAACTTATTTTGGTTCTTCCTCACCAGGTTATTTCTCCTGCCGCACTCTTCCTCGCTGCAAAGGTCGAGGAGCAGCCCCGCAAACTGGAACACGTTATCAAGGTGGCCCATGCATGCCTCAATCCTCAGGATCCCTCACCAGATGTCCGCAGTGATGTAAGTGTTGGGCTGTAGTAAAAATCGCCTGCAATTGTTGCTCTGTCTCCTCCTGTGTTTGCCAGACAGGGTAGGGATTTCATCTCGGCGATAATAATGGTTAAATGGAATCTATTTAATCAGTAGATTATGTGGAGATTAATATTATTTGATTAATTATTAATATTCTGTGTTCATTCAGGAGCAACAATTTGGCTATAAACCTTCCAATGTGGCAGCTCTTTGACCTGAAATTAAGAGATGCTTACCTTTTAAGCTACTAAATGTATTGCTGTTTGAATTTGTGTTACTCACAATTACAATTTCTTTCTCCTAGAATGGACGGTTTTTAATAGCAGCCTCAACGCTGATGCTTTAAAGGCCAATTTATACTTCTGCGTCATCTGCCGTTGGGATGCCATAGCCTAAAACACACCTCCCCAAAAATGGAACATGGCGGGGACGCAGACCGCAAGAACTGTGATTGGTCGGCTTGGTAGCATCGCAGACATTTTCCCATAGACATAAATTGTGAAAGAAGCAGCTGTAAAACGGTGGATACATTTTTTGACCATCACAACCTCCACGAAATGACTCGTTTTACTATCAGAATTTGATCCATTTGGTCCGATAACATTTGCAAAGTCTAGAAGCCGCACGATTAAATCATTTTACTCCCATTCAAGTTAGCAGGGGGCTAATCCCGAAGTTAGCTGGCTTGGCCTGCGGAAGTCAACACAGTGGAGCGTAGAAACCCCACAGCTAACTAGCGTTTTGGTGGTGTAATTGCAGAGAGATACATACACAAGTATAAATGCTCACAACGGCGATGGTATGTGTGTAGACACAATGCAGAAGTATAAATTGGCCTTAAAATTTAATTTATCCTGGCATGAAGTTAACAGCAATTTGCGTTATTCTAATTCATTTTTGCTTTTGTTTCATTTAAACTACAACAATTACGTCACAAAGTGTCTTGTTTTTAGCTGTTGCTACATCAGGTGTTGATGCTGCTTAAAATATAGATCAAGCGAGAGCATCTGTACTCACTATGTGGCTTTAATCGTCTCACTACTTATCTGTGAGGCTTCTTCATTTCTACATGAAAGGTGGGTTTAATGTGTTTGAAATCGGATCGGGCCTCCCAGTGAGTAACGTGCCTGTCCTCTCAACCTCAGGCCTACCTGCAACAAGCCCAAGACCTGGTCATTCTTGAGAGCATAATACTCCAGACCTTGGGTAAGTTGGGAGAGAAGAACTGGGTCCCTTGATTTCCCACCAGAAACACATGTGATTTATAAAAATAGTGCTAACCTGTTTTACTTTTGTCCACAGAAAGCTCATATGCAGTTAGCAGCACTGGAAAGATATTCACACTTCATTTTTAGCAGCTCTTACCCCTTGGTTCCTTTTTATGTTTTTATTATGTCCATAACTTTTTAAGTTTGTCTTTTTTTTTTTACATTTTTCTTCTTATCTACATATTTTAAAGCCATTTGTTTGAGGACTATGTGAGGACTGGCTGCATTATCCTGAACATTGGCTTTTAGTATGTTCGCTACAGCCTGCTTAATCCTTTCCCATGATTTCAAGCTTGGAAGTAAGCCTTTGAGGAAGATACCATTGGCTTTAATTGACAATACCAAACTGTGTTTTTACTTTGAAACCAGATTCAGCATCATGCAAAGCAAGAGTTGGGAAGTTACTTGTAAATTTAATGTTTTTCACATTCATCTGTTGATGTTTTCACATCGTCCAGGGCGTTTTTGGAAGACCTCACGCAAACTGATATTCCACATTATTGCCTGCAACACTTAGTTTGGTATAACAGTATTTATTTTCTGCTTTTCAGGGACTTTTCTTAATCTTTACTGCTGAATGGGAAATGATCTTTGTCTTGGAAATTGGATTGAATGAAATGTGTGTGGAACATACATTAGTTTGACATCGGCATTTCATTTATCAAGCCTTGTCTCTTTTTGTCCCTTTTTATTACAGCTTTTGAAATCACCATTGACCATCCACATACTCATGTTGTCAAGTGCACTCAGCTCGTAAGAGGTGAGCATTGACTCTACAATTTTGGGAAATTCTGTTTGGATATTTTGGTGTGATTTATGTTTGCACGTTAAATTGTCAATTAGCAGATTTTAAGTGTGTTTTTTTGTTCTATTGTTGTTCCAGCTAGTAAGGATCTGGCTCAAACATCATACTTCATGGCCACCAACAGGTATATTATATTCACAGTTCACTGTAAAACATAAGCTTTTGTGTACATTGTGTATAATCCTCAAACTCTATATACTGAATGTCTATTCTCTCTCTTCCTGTTTCTATTTTTTGTTACCTTCCGGAACGTATCCTGCCACGTAGTCTGCACTTGACCACATTCTGCCTGCAGTACAGCCCGCCCGTTGTGGCCTGTGTGTGCATCCACCTTGCCTGCAAATGGTCCAACTGGGAGATCCCCGTGTCCACAGACGGCAAACACTGGTGGGAGTATGTTGACCCCACAGTTACCCTCGAGTTGCTGGATGGTATGTGCTGAAAATATTGTTAGAAAAGGACCTACAAAGTCATGCGTCAGTTACAGATTAATCTGATGAATGTTGAGGATTTGAAAGATTTTCACTTTTATCCTGCAGATCTTGTCTTCACTCACTTCTTCATTACTTCTTTCAGAGCTCACACACGAGTTTCTGCAGATTCTGGAGAAAACACCTAGCCGGTTGAAACGGATTCGCAACTGGAAGGTACAGGTTTTTTTCCATTGCTCCTTGGTGACCTATGGAGGACAGCCAAGACACCCCATTTTTTTGTTGACTGGCCTTTCTGTGATTGTCGGTTTTTGTTTGCTCCTAGGCTGGAGGTCAGACGCCAAAAGCCAAGCCAAAGGTCCAGGAGGAGGGTGACCAGAGGGACACTATGATGAGCATGATTTCTATGGCCTCATCAGAGACCACTGTGGCGGGCCTGATGAGCCTCTCAGCACCACCTTCTGCCTCTTCTTCCTCATCCATGGGTGACAAAGACAGCGGTGCATCTGGCAGCACTCAGTCTTGGAGTGGAAAAGGTCAGGCTGGATCTGAGCAGCAGCCCAACAACGAGGTTCACGTCCCAGCTAAGGTGTCACTGAGTGAGTACCGTGCCAAGAACGCAGATGTCCTGGCCGCCCAGAAGAGGAAGCTAGAGAACATGGAGGCCAGCGTGAAGAGGGAATATGCCAATGCTGCCCAGGCTCTCATTGGTCAACAGAGGAAGGAGAAGCAGCATCATCACCAGCAGTCTAGCTCCTCCTCCTCTTCTGACATGTCCACCCCGTCACCAATAATTCTGAAAATCCCCCTTGAGAAGGAGAGGCACGACAGGAGCTCTCTTAAAATGCGTTTACCCCTAGCTGGCGGAGGAGGCAGCGGCAGCGCCCGAGGTCAGGAACAGGACATTAAAGTCAGAATACGAGTGCCTGAGAAGCAAAGGGGGAGTTCAGGAGAGGAGGGCAAGAGCAGGGACAAGCACAGGGAACGGTCTAACCACCACCACAATCATCACCACCACCATCACCATTCTTCCTCTAGCGGCGCCTCACTCTCCTCTTCACACAAACATTCATCTAGTTCCAGTGGGGCATTAGGAAGCAGCAAAAAAGTCCCCAGCGACTCGTCTAGAACAAGCTCTTCGTCTTCTTCTGCCTCACGTAAGAGGACACACTCCCAAGATCCCACAGCAGGCTCTCACCCTGCCTCGAAAGTCAGTAAGTCCTCTAGGAATCTCTACCAGCTACCGTCCCTGTCTTCCTCCTCTGGGCAAACTCTGGGGCAAGGTCCTGACATTCTCCCCGCTCTGGGCCTTCCCCACCACCAAGGGAGCTATTCGCACTCCAAAGGCGACAAGACGGACACTAATGGGCATGGTGCAACAGGCGGAGCCCAGTCAAACGAGTACCAGGACACTTTTGAAATGCTAAACTCGCTTCTGAGCGCACAGGGGGTCCAGCCGGCCCAGCCGGCCATGTTGTTTGACTATAGATCCCAATATGGGGACTACAGGTACAGTGGTGGCTCCAGAGGGAACAACGCTAGGCCCCCACCCCTGCCTTCAGAACCACCTCCCCCACTGCCGCCTTTACCCAAATGAGTTTCCTGATCATGAGACCCATAATGTACCTTGTACTTGACATCGCAAACATCCATCTTGTTACATAAAGTATTGTTTTTTGTTTTGTTTTTAACTTTAATTTTTTAATAGGCATCAGTGTGACAGCAGTAAAATGTACTGGTGAGGTAAATGAATTTTCAGCATTTTTCTTTTTACAGTTCACGTTTAGGGCAATAATGAGAGGCTTTTAAAGCTTGCAAAATGTGAGGAAAAAAATTTACAAGAAAGTGTAGATATTTTTTTCTCATGTGAAATGTGATGATGGGACCTGGTATTTTTACCATCGCTGTTTTTGGAGGAAGGCGTTGTCTTGAAATCATGAGGAAACAGATTTTCATTACATACCTGTTGGGTCCGATTGTCTTTTTATAATGTTTTTATAGGATGTTATTTATTAATTGAATGTTTTTTAAAAAAAAGAAGAAGAAGAAAAAAGAAAAACATGATCCCGTTTTATACCTTTTTTAAGGTTTCCTCTCTTTGTTCTTTTTGGGCAGAGGGACATTAAAACTGTACAGGCAGGTTTGAGAGTGCATGTATCCAAAGTTAATATTTTTGTCTTTTAATTTTTATTAACACCATCACCTAAAAAAAAATAGGTGATTGTCCTGCCCCTAGTGTTTTAACTGTTTTATTTCCAGCATTATTTGGTAAACTTGTACAAAGATTGTAAAATGTTTAAAACACATGAAATATTTTTTACATTTTGTTATGAAAAAATGCAACAAAAAAATATGAAGCTTGTACTTTTTGTTTAAAGTTTTTGTTTAGATTTTGAGTGTTGCAGTCATTGTTTTAAATGGTTGTAAAATATTCACATTCAGTTCTCTAATGATTACACTAATGGACAAAGTTCATACCAACAATATACATGTATGGTTTATCAAAGAGTTCAAACATATCTACTCGGTATGGTCACAATGAAGGAATTGCCAACAACAAAAAGTCCCTCTAGAGAAGAAATGTGAATTTTAATTCCTGTCACGTAATTGTCACTTGTACATCAGTTTCCTCTTGGGGGCAAGTAGTTTACGGTGATCACAGCTAAATGCAAAAACAGAAAAAGGAGGAACGTACTAAAGTTCAAGTGGCATTGACACCAGCAGTGATGAGTCAGCCTGAAACTGCCGTTAAAAATAGTTTGTGGTGACCATATCGAGAAGGGACAACAAAGTAAAAGTACACAGTATCAAAGACTAATCAAACGCCATATGTCTGTCTGTGTGGTCATCTTTCGTTTATGCGTTTTCTTTTGGGTATGTTTTTAATGTGTAAACCCCAGTGTACACCTGTCAGTTCATGCTGGTCTGAGATTTAATCATGTTTAAAGCTGTCTTTTGACTCCATACCTTCAAATTAAATTGGTGGATATTCAGCTTCAGATTGTTGTTTATAATCTAACCACAAGCCATGATTTATCAAAAATGTTTGCATGTGTACTTCAGTTTTGTAAATCCCACACTGAAAGCAGGTTATCGACATACCTCCACTACAGGGTCATAAGCATGACATATAATACTGTCTAATTCATATGAATTAATGATGAGTTTATGTTTGAGAGAACTGATGGAAGATATGCCTCTTGTTGGCAAGAGAATCGGGTATCATCTGTACATTTTAATTCATACTAAGCTTTATATGGTTTTGATTGTATAGTATTACTGCTCTTTACCTGCTTTCTTTTCTCAGTTTATCAAAAACTCATTTGTTTTAGGCAGTTCACAGTAATGCAGTACAAAAAATCAGCCATACAATTGTGAAATATTTTTGTTCCCTTGATTATATGGAAGATAAGCTGAAAGAGTACAGCTCTTTGCTCAGGCAGCAGAGGTTTATTAGTTATTCAACTCTTGGTTGTAACAGGGAAACAGTAAATGCACTGAATATTTATCTCCGTAGGTTTGCCTACAATGCAAGTGACAAAGTGTTACATGTGTAATGGTTAGACTCTTAGAATAGATGTCCAATATATCATTGCCATTTTTGAAAATTGTTTTAGCTGATCAGGACAAATCTTCCAATAAAAGTGTTAACTTTATGTGAGAAGGTCATACAAATAATGGACACATTAAAAACAACCCCACATGTGAGAAAAAAATGGAAGACACTCATGCAACCTAACAATGCAAAATCACATAGCTACAGTAAATGTAATGTTTTTTTTTCATGTCTTGGTGTTTTAAGTGACACTCAGGTCTGGAAATAAAACGTTTGGGATTTTTGTTTGGTTTTTCAGATAAAAGATTATATGTGAACACTGTTCTTTTTGATATGTGGTTGCTTTACTCTCAATTAAAGTCAATAAATATTTTAAGAAAACGCTCATTGCATTAAATGTTTGTATCAAATGGGACTGCTGCAATATTATGGGTGTAAATGTAAGTTTGTGGCCCGCTGTGATTGGCACTTAGAGTGGCCAATGAAATACCTTCAACTTTGGCCAATCAGAGCTCGGAGTGGGAGGGCTCTGTTTGGCTGTGGCAGTTATTGGGGAATGCAGGAAAACCGACGTAGTGTTCATCAGGAGCTAAACACGGTCGGACGGCACGGAGGAAGGTAAGCTGTTCTAAACAAAAATGAGCCTCTGTTCATCTTTCGGCACCGATGCATCTCGACGATAACGAGAATGACCACCGTGTGTTGCCATCGGTCAGCAAAACTCGCTTCTTGGCCGTCAGTTGTGAAAAGTAGCGGTTTGTTAGCATTAGCAACTGCTAAACAAAGATGGCGACTCCGTGACTGAAAAGAATGACGCAGTAAAGAGAGGCGGGCTAAAGCTTGGTGTGGCGCCTGGTTGGAGTTGGGCAAGACGAGAGACATTCACATATGTTAGATTTAAATCTGCAGTAAAAACTTTTTATCCTTTACATCAATAAGGCTTTATGTGTTTCGAGGTGTATGACCGCAGTGTAAGGGCAAAATGTATATTAACTTATATCAAAGTTTAATAACAATCTGACACGCCACCTGACCTGCCACCGTCGTCTTTAACGTTATTGAATAAGAATATCATTACCGTTAATTCATATTGGAGCAGCCGTTGCAAACGCGGTGCTCATCTGTTTTTATCCTGCTTGGGGGGGATAATATATAACTTACAGTTTAACATCTCTGACCATTGGACTCAATTTGTGATTAAAGAGCAAACTTAACGTTTAATAAGCCACGCGGATCTATAAAATATGGCCATGCAAATGTCTGCAATGACATTGAAAATTTTATTTGAAATACGTAGTTAGTGTACCTCCTATCTTCCATATTCCCTTACTCTATTAATTCTTTTTGTTGATGATAATAACAAAGAAATTGTCCCTTGTGCTTTCCCAGAGACCAGGGTGATACCTTCAGATGTGTTTGTTTTCGTTGACAAATAGTGCAAAACAAAAAGATTTTCTCTTTTAATGTCATTAAAAAAACGTTACCGTAAATGAAAGATTAGGCAACACATCCTCACATTTGAGAAGCTGAATCATGGGAATGTTTGTCAGTTTTACTTAATATGGGAAACGGTTAATTAATTTTCAGAATAGTTACCTAATACATTTTCTGTCTACTCTTGATCTCTGATAGTTAGTGCAGTCTTAGCCCCCTCCATATTCTATGTCTGGATGAATTGTTTTGTCTATAAAATGTCGCAAAATAATAATATCTGTAAGCCTTGTTTTACCCGAGCGACACTACAAAACTCAATGATTTCAGGTTACTGTCTTACAAGATGGAGAAAAGCAGCAAATCTTCACATTTGAGAAGAGTGTTTGCTATTTCTTTTTTTTTTAAATGACATTATTAATAAATGTATCTTGTTCTGTCACTCAGCTAATCAATGAACAGATCAGTTTCATCTCCTAATTATTTTTGCAGACTTGCAATGAACAGGATACGAATCCACGTTTTGCCTTCGAGTCGGAACCGGGTGGCCCAGACACCTCGTCCCCAGGAGCCCCAGGCCTGTTCCTTTTCCCAGCGACCATGCTCTCAGCCCCGTCTGGACGGCCTGGAGTACTGCATCAAACACATTTTGGAGGACAAGAATGCCCCGTACAAGCAGTGCAGCTATGTCTCTGCCAAAAACGGCAAGCGCTGCCCCAACGCTTCACCAAAGGTCGAGAGGAAAGATGGGTGAGTGGACAGTTTAAATTTTAACTTTACTTTAACTGGCTTTAACAACGGTTAGAAACAAGTTAGACCTCCAGATTTATTAACTATAACAGGAGAAACAAACAAAAGATGACACCTATTAATAAATCCAAGCAGCTTTCTGACTTCTCTTCTCCAATGACTCTCTGTTCTCTTAGAGTGACATTCTGTGCAGAGCATGCTCGCAGAAATGCCATGGCTCTCCGAGCTCAGATGAGAAAGCCGTCTTCCGGTCCGTCCCCAGAGTCACTGTTGTCTCAGCTTAGCGGATACAACCGTTCAGAGGCACACAGCCCTGATGGAGGCCGCTCTGAAGCTAGTCGTATTTTAGGTAAATGGTCCTGTTCAGTTTGTCAACTGTATACCCCTTCATTGACATTAATCTTGTGTGCTTTGACTTTTTCTGTATCATGGTAAATTGATGTGGTAGTTTCTCTTGCAGTTTATTTTCACATGTATGAATATGATTTTAAATATTTTTACTACGCCCCCCTCTGGATAGATGAGGAAAGTCTGAGTGAGGAGGAGCAGGGTCCCTTGGTACTGGACCAGACATGGAGAGGAGACCCTGACAGTGACGCCGACAGCGTTGACAGTGATCATGAGGATCCTCTGAAGTAAGCTGAATTATCGGACTATCGAGTTTTTAATCTAAACTCATCTTGTCATTTTGTTGTATTTAGACAATAAGTTACTGTCTTAATATGTAATAGCTGTGTCTGAATTCATACTAACAAATTCTGAGCAGGCTTTGAGTATTGTGTTCATGCTGGAAAAGTGACAAAATCAAAGTTCTGGTGTTTGTGCATATTTACGTGTTTCTTTTAAAACCCATCAGAATCTTTGTCTAAACCCAAACCATGATCTTTTTTCCTAAACCTAAAGTTTTGTTAACTGAGACAGACGTAGGCCTCTCTTGATGACACAGAATACAGTAACAAGGTGGTTTGTCAGCTTTAGCCTTTAGCACCTGGGGGCTGAGTCAGCTGATAGGAACGCTGGCTGCATGGCAAACCGAGTTAACGATAGAGACAGAACAATGGCTTAGCAAAAAATAAAGCTTTCTGAAACTCCATAAATCGAGAGTGAATGTTGAGGAGGATATCAGAGAGGGAAAAAAACAATTATTTCTCCAGAAATCTGTTTTACCAAAACGGTGAATAAAGTTTTTGTTTTTCTTTCTAAATCTCAGACATGCAGGAGTGTACACAGCAGAGGAGGTGGCACTAATCACTCGAGAAAAACTCATCAGGCTCCAGTCCCTCTACATTGATCAGTTCAAACGCCTGCAGCACCTGCTTAAGGAGAAAAAGCGTAGATACCTGCACAACCGCAAAGTGGAGCACGAAACTCTAGGTAAATTCACAACTAACTGGCTACTAAGATGTCGTTTAAACATCCCTATCATAGCATATCTTGCATATCATTTTAGAGATTATGTGTGGATACTTCTGAGTGAGGATGACTGTGGTGATGTGATTTGTTGCTGGGGTCTATACTAAACAAGCATGTTCCTTAATGTCTGGACAGTATATTTTCTTTTTTTTTTTTGGCCTCTTTGTAGCACCACAATGCTCTTTGTAGCACACATTTTACCATATTAAAAGATTGCTGCTCCTGCGACTTGGATATTGCGCTTGGCCATATTGCGATTTTGATAATATTTAAACTCTTATGGTGCAGCTGACAGAACTTTTGAATATAGGCTGCATATAATCTTTTGACATCAATTCAGTGTGTGTGTGTGTGTGTGTTTTTTTTTTTTTAACGCGCGCACGCACACAGATATAGCTGGTCATTAAATGCTGCTGAGCAAGATTTTTAAATGTAAAACAGATGTCTAAAATGTGCGTCACTTTGAATCTAGACACCTTTTCAAATGCAAATCACTAGACTGGGTGGGACCCAATCATAGCTCCATGAATAAACTGTCATCTGTTGATATTCTCATCTTCAGTTATTGCCATCCTGCATTTTACTTTGGTTACTGCTGAATTGATATATTTTAAAAATCAAATGTAACATACAGGATTCCAGCAGTTCATTAAGGAAATTCAAGTCAAGTAAATGACGACTGAGTGGACAACGTCGTCATGCTAACTTTTTGACTCCTCGCTCTACTCCTGTTTTTTAAGATGTCAGGGGCTGCATTGGCACACATTTATATTTTTAGCTCCGCTGGATTAAAATGGAAGCTCTGCCTTTATTTACCTTTTGGCATGAATCATGTTATCAGAGCTCCATTGATTGTTTTTTTTTTTTTTTTTTTTTCATTCCCCGCCCTTAACTGGAAATCATCCCACACCTTTTTAATGTTCACAAGGCCACACAGCCCTCAGCAATGTCTTTTTATTTGTTTATGTCAGGAAGCAGTCTGTTGACAGGACCTGAAGGTCTATCCATGAAGGAGAGGGAGAACCTGAAGAAGCTCAAAGCTCTACGCCGATACCGTCGTCGGTACGGTGTGGAAGCCCTGCTGCACAGACAGTTGAGGAAGAGGAGGCAGGCTGTGACCGAAGGAGCTCCTCAGGTGTGACACGCACCCAGTAGTAAAATAGTAAAACTAGTAAGCAAGACTTTAAACTAATGTTAAAGGGTCAGTTCACCAGAGCACAAAAACAGTCTCACTTGCTCCTAGTGGTATCCAGCCATGAAAATAGTCTATCAGATGAAGATATGTCTGAAACATATGTGACCACCCAAGAGTACATGGGTGAAGGCAATTATGTTTGTGGTTTTAAACTCTAGAGCAGTTTGTCTTCCCAGAAATAATTCCCGGCTTTGAACAGTTCTCACTGGAACAACAATTACTACTGAAGAAATCCAGAAACCCCCATGTTAACAGCACAGGGGTCTAGCATTTAGGTTTGACTATGGTGTGTATTTATTATTTCTTTCCAGTATTGTTTGTTACAGGTGTGGTAGAAACACAGGCCTATGTGTTGTCAATATCTTCAACAGCATGTCATTTTTCCGATAGGGGCAGAGTTAGAGGATTTACTCATTTGACAGAAAATTACTCAGTCTGTGTTAGACTACCAGACTAGAGATCTAACTTATGGTAAATGACTATCTGACATGAAAACCGTCTTAGAGAGCAGTGGTAAAACCTTTGTGTTAACCATATTCTCTACAAACGAAATGCCATCACTTCCATTGTCTTGCGGTGGTCTCGGA